ATGAATAGATTGGCTATAAACATCTGTATGCAAGGTTTGTATGTGTGTGTGTGTGTGTGTGTGTGTGTGTGTGTGTGTGTGTTTTCAGCTCCTTTGGGTAAATACTTAGCAACACAATTATGGATTGCATACAATGAAAATAGAGTTGTGTAAGAAACTACATTCCAAACTGACTGTACTGTTTTTCATTCTCATCAGGAATGCCACAATATTTGAAATTTTCAGTATTTCAGATTTTGACCTTGTAATTAAGTGTGTAATATTTGTTTTAATTTGTAATTCCCTAATAACATATGCTGCTAAGCATCTTTCAAATGCTGATTTTCTATGTGTATATCTTCTTCTTTCTGCCTGTATATACTGTTTGTGTCTTTTTTGACATTTTAATAAGTAGTTTCATTCCTCATTGTTGAGCTTTAAGAGTTCTTTAAATATTTGGGTGACTTTTCTTTATCAGTTACACCTTTGCAAATATTTTTCTTCTCAGTCTATGGTTTGTCTTCTCATTTTATGGCGGCTTCTGCAGAGCGAGATGTTTTTTAATTTTTTTGTTTTTTTGAGACTGGATCTCACTATGTAGCCCAAGTTGGCCTGGTACTCTGCTGATCCTTCTGTCCCTACCTCCTCAGTGCTGGAATTACAGGTTTGCATCACACTGCCCAGTTTAAATTTAGTGCTGAGCAAATCAAATTATCAATTAGCTCTTCCATGAATATGTCTTCAGTTTTATACTTAAAAATTCATTGCTAAACCCAAGTTCATATAGGTTTCTTCTATACTATTATCCAGGGGTTTCACACTTTACATTTCAGTGCATACCTACGCTCCATTTTGAGTTAACTTCCATGAAGGTATAGGATCTCTCTAGATCCTTGTTTTGCATATGGATATGACAGGAATAGGTTTTGTTGTTGTTGTTGAAAAGACCATCTTATCTCATTGCATTGTCTTTGCTCCTTTGTAAAATATCAGTTGCATATATTTATGGGACTGTATTTCTTACTCCTCTATTCAGTTTCATTGATCTGTGCATTTATACTGTCCCAATTACCATGCTATCTTGATTACTATGGCTTTATGGTAAGCCTTGACATTGGATATTAGCAGCTTTCCAACTTTGTTTTTCAATATTGTGCTAGCTATTCTGAGTCTTTCACCTCTCAATGTATACTTTAAAATCATTTTGTTAATATCCACAAAATAATTTGTTGGATTTAAGTTGGGATTATGTTGAATCTATAGATCAAGTTGACAAAAATTAACATCTTCATAATACTGAACTTCCTTATCTATAAACATGGAACATCTCTCCACTTCTTTTGTTCTTTCATAGAAGTTTGTGTTTGTTCTCTTTGTATAAATACTATGAAGATTCCGCTAGATATACACCTACATCTTTCATGGGAGGGGGCACTAGCATAAATGATACTGTGTTTCATTTTTTATTTCCAGTTGTACTTACTGATACAAAAGAAAGTGACCGAGTTTGGTATAATAACCATGATATACAATTTTACTGTACAATTTTATTGTACTAGCTTATTAATTCCAAGAAGTTATATTTATCAATTCTTTTAAATTTTTTTTTACATAGACAATAGTATCACCTACATGGACAATTTCATTTCTTTTTTCCTCTAATACTGAATACCTCTTAGCTCCTTTCCTTACTCTAGGGCTTCTACTATATGTTGAAAGAAATGAGAAGAGGGAACATACTTACCTTGTCTCAGATCTTAGCAGGCAAAAGCTTCTGAAGTTTCTCTCCATTAAGTATGGTGTTATTATTTATAAGATGATTTCTATGTTGCTTTGTATGTCCCTCCCCCATGGTATAACCCCTGCTGTCACTGTATTTGATGTTGGTATAATTTATGGAGGGGAAGGGCAAAAACAAATAATTTAACTAGGGATACAGGTGGACCCATTGCAACAATGAGATGTACAAGTCGTTATGTCAAAAAATGAACTTTACAACTTTGGTGGGGGGAGTACGGGAAGGGATGGGAAGAGGAAACAAAGAGGAGGCAACAATGCTTGATAAGAAATGTACTCATTATCTTGTCCATGTAATTGTAACTCCTCTGTACGGTATTCTCACAACAAAAACAAAAACAAAGCATGGTGTTAGCTGTAGGTTGGTCGATTGGTTTTACAGCACTGGAATTGAAATCCCAGTCTCCTATTTGCAAGGGTGTTGCTCTTTCGTCACCCTCCAGCCCCCTTTTGCCTTGATTATTTTCAGGGTATAGCCTAACTTTATACCTAGGTTAGCCTGGGAATTGATCCTCCTTTGTGTCCTAGTGTGTGTTCTATTGCTGTAACAGGAACAGCAGCAGAATGGCACTGGGTAATTTATGAAGTAAAGAATTTCCTTTGGCTGAAGATTCTGGAGGCTAGGAAGTCCAGGAATATAGTGCTGGCATCTTTTTGGCTTCTGGTGAAATCCTTATGTTGCTTCAATTCATGGCAGAAAGCAGAAGTGCAAGAAAATACACAAAGAGGAGGGGGGCAAACTCCTGAGATAGCTCACCCATCCCCATAAGAAAAGCATCAGCTCATTCCTGAGGGCTCTGTCCACATGAGCCAAAGACCTTTCACTAGGCCCAATCTCCCAACACCAGAATTTTGGGGAGATAAATTCATACCACAACATTCCATGTTGGTCCCCAAAATCATGACCTTCCATGAAAACATACTTATTCCATCCCAATAATCCCCCACACTTAACTAGTTCTAGTATCAACTTACATTCCAAAGTCTCACTTGAGATTCAAGACAAATTCCTTTTAATGCTGAATCTCTGAAATCAAACAAGCTGTCCACTTCTAAGGTGTCACAAGAACCGGCATCAGGTAGTCCTTCCCAGGAAGAAGCAAGTCATAAAGAAGCGGAGACAATGCCAAACAAGTCCAACAACCATTTAGGGTAGATATTAAATCTTACATTTCCAGAATACTTTTCCAATCCACGTGCAGCCTTCTGAACATGCTGGGGAAGGGGTGGGATCCCAACACCGCAGGCAGCCGCATCCCCACAGGGCTCAGCCCACGTGGCTGCTCTCTGGGCTTGGAGTCACACAGCAGTGTTTGTGCTGCACACAGGCAGTGGCTGGACTGTTTCAGAGTGTCAGCAGCAACCCTAGAGTTGCTCCCAGGGAGTTCAGTACATCCTTTGACATCTAGGTGGAGGCCTCCACTTCTTTGGGCATCCCACATGCCTGCAGAATTATCACCACGTGGATGTGGCACAGCAAGGTATATTTACTGTATTCTTTGTAGCACCAACAGGAGGCACATCCGGGGCCATTTGAGAACAGTGTGATTCTGCTCAGAGTTGCTGCTGGTGTCTGTGGAGCCACACCTACAGCTACTTGAGCCACAGCTGGATGTGGTTGAATAGCCCCACACTAGAATGCAAGAGGAATCTTCAGGCATCCCTGAGCAGCAAGCCCCTAGGGGGGCCCCTAGTCCAATCCCCTGAAACCATTCTGTTTTCCTAGGCTTGTAATGGGATAGGCAGCATGAAGAGTTCCAAAATGCCTTTGAGTCTTGGTCTCCGTTGCTCTGGCAGATTATTCTGACTCCTTTGTGGTCATAGTTATCTCTTTAGAAAACAGTAGTTTGGCCACACTATATTCCTCATCGAACATACTTTTTTACATACTTTGCATGGCCAGGGATGTAATTAAACCATTTCAAATTATAATGCTTCATTTCCCTCTTAATACAAATTACTGTTCAATGATACCTTTTGGTCATCCCTTTGCTACTGTATCTCCATAAGGGCAAAGTAACCCTGTAGCCTCTTAAGCACTTTACTTGTTTGGCTATTTCTTCCATCAGATATGCTAGCTCATCACTCTTAAATCATGCTCTTCACAAAGCCCTAGAACATGGATAGAATGTGCCACCTTCTTTATATGTGTACAAGGATGCCCTTTCTTCTAGTTCATTCCCAGCTGAGAGCTCGTCAGCATGGCCTTTTCTGTTCACATTTTTATCAGCATTATAGTCATAACCAATTAAGTAGTCTCTACAGAGTGCCAGACTTTTCCTAAGTCTCTTGAGCTCTCGCCACAATTGCCCTTAATACACTCTATTGAGTAAGCCAGGCCTTTTCCAGCGTTCACTTCAAAACAATTCCAGTCCCTAGCCACACTCAGTTCCAAAGCTGCTGTTTTTTAGATATTACTATAGCAATATCCCATTTCTCTGTCCCAGTTTTCTGTCTGAGTGCAATTGCTCTTGCTATAACAGAATCTGTGGTAATATATGAAGAAAATGGTATCATCATCGTCTTGGCTTCTGGTGGGAACTGTGTACTGCTTCAACACCTGGCAGAAAGCAGAAAGATAGCCAAGCACTTTCAGGGAGTGCGGGGGGGGGGGGGGGGGGGGGGCGGGAAATGACAGCTAACTGGTCCCATGAAAAATATAATGTATTTGTAAGGGTGCCACCTTACCCCACCTCTGCTTGACCCAAATAGCTCTCACAAAGTCCAGAACTCCAACTCTGCTACACTGAGGAATTAAGTTTCCAACCCATGCTTTTGGAAAACACACTTGAACTGTAGCAGTGTCTTTAAAGAAATCTGTCCATTTAACCTAGGTTCTCAAATTTGTGAGCAAAGAAGATATGTTCATAATAGTCTTATTTGTTTACTTCCTATAGGATCTATAAAGATGTACTCTCTCTAAGCTCACTTTGATTTTTTTTAATGTTCCTAATTTTAGCTTACAAAAAAACCTTTTGTCTCTGAGGTAGTCTGTATCATTGCTATCAACTAATCAGTTGACCACTACTTCCAACAACTTTTTTGAATCCTCCAGTAAGTATTAGTTACTTCTTGATTCTATTAAAATGCTCTGTGTGGATCATCACATCTACAAATGATTAGAACTTTATCTTTTTTCTTCTAATTCATATACCTCCTTATGAGTATTATGATTAATTTAAAAATGATAGGATAGGACAAAAAGAATAAAACTCAGTATGCATTTTAAAACTTTATTAAAGCAAAAGAAGGAATCAACATCTGAGTGGTTTAAATAAGTGTGGGCAAGAGCAAAAGTAAATTCTATCTAAAAAAAATGTTAACAGAGAATAAAATCCTAAAATATCCAGGTTGATATCAACAAGCCCATGTTTGAAGTCTCTTTCTCTCCTTTCTTCTCCCTCACTCTCTCATTCTCTCACTCTTACTCTCATCCACATTCTTTAGTGGTACTTGGGCTTTTGAACTCAAGGTATCATGCTTGCTAGGCTAATGCTCCACCACTTGAACCACAACCTAGTCCTTTTTTTTTTTCTTTAGTTATTCTCAGGTAAAGTCTAGTGTTTTTGACTGGGCTGGGCTCAAAACAAGATCCTCCTAACCATGGCCTCCCTAATAGCTGAAATCACAACTATTCATGTTATGCCTAGTTTATCAGCTGAGATGATGTCTCAATAACATTTTTGCCTGGGGTGGCTTTGATCCTCCATCCTCCCAGTCTCCACCTCCTGAGTAGGCTTGTTTCTCTCTTGATTCATGGTTTCTATCTTGACTAACAGAAGGTAAGTCTGAATCCTTAATCTCTGGACAATTACTCATTTGTCATCGCAACAGGGATTTCCCTAATTCATCATTTCAGCTCATAGCCTTGTAAGCTCCCATTCTCGTTGTAATCATCTTATGTGGTTTTCATGAGTGCAGATTCCTGGCATCAACTAGAACTTGACAAATAAGAATTTTTATTGGTAGTTCTTGAGCATCTACTAAGTTAGAAACTCAGTCTTTTTGAGAATTATCAGGGTGGGAGAAAGAAAAGAGACCCTAACCTCCAAACAAAGGAGTATACCCCAAAAACCTGGGCCTGGTAGCCAGGGCTGGGGAAGAAGAAATGGCTTATTTTCCCTGTACTTCATCCAACTGCCTTGAAATTTTCTATGGCACATACACATCTACATTATAATGAATGCCCATAACACACCTTCCCACCCAGATCAAGCCAGGTCTGGGGAGAGTACCAAAATGTTAGTGTTGTTCTTCCTGGAAATAATAGAGTCCTTCTCCCAGACATGATTCCTAAAAATTAGGCTTTGGAGTTATCAGGGACTCCTGACACAGTAAGGAAGGGTGGAGCTTCAGGAAGGGGAGACTAGAAGGCACCATGCCACTTTAATTCCATAGACGAAACACAATAAATGCAGAACAAAGCAAAACTCCTGCCATATCAACTGGCTCAGCAGCTTCATGTGTCCACTGAAGTATTATTGTTAGTCTAAACAAAAATCTCATAATGAGTAACAAAAGGCACTTCTCAAAAAATAAACGTTTTTTTAAATTCATTTTGTGTCCTAATAAATTCTAAAAATGGCTGCAATACAAATAGTAGAGCCACACCCACCTCACACAGACCCACCTAGAAGTTTACAGTTTTCACTCTTTTAAAAGCTGCATGTATTACTAAATAATCCTTGTAAAGCCTCACAACATTGCAACCCCTGGAGTCATGATTTATGATTAAATAATATGATTTCAGTGTCTTCATTAAGCCTTTAAAATAAAATGAGACATTTAAAAATTGATGTCCCCCTCAAAAAACAAAAAAGATTACTTTGAGAAAACCTTTATTACACAGCTATATATCACTTAATTCATTTCTATTTAAATAAACAAACACAAAATTAATAAAATCCTAGCAATTATCAATCACTGGTCCCCAAGTTGTAGAGAACATTTTAAGGCACACATCTCTTGGTTGTTTTTAAATCTGGAGCATAATTATTGTCCAAAATAATTTTTGTATGAGTTATAGAACCTTACTCTATAAAACCACAACTCCTGATTCCAAATCACTTTCTGGGAGAATGAATGTATCCAGGAAAGGTATCAGAAGTTGTCACAAGACCACTGACTACTAAGAAAATAGTCATTATTTAATTGAATATATATTTGTTGAATATATATTCATCTTAATTTTATTTACATATCCACACACTTTCAACCTTATATCTAGGTTGAAAATATATGTACAAATGCATGTATACTTTAAAATATTTTATTCTCTCTAAAACTAAAAGCAAAATCAAATAAAAATGTTCTTCAGAGCCAACTATTATACCATTAGCCTGTGATAGTTGTTTCTTTCTCACTCTGTCCTTTAAGAGAAGATTTTTAAAAGTGGTAATTAGTGGATGGATATACCCAATCTCTATAGCTGTACCCAATCTCTCAGAAATAGACACTAAGTTGTCCAAAATCCCTGAAGACAAGAGATTATTTTATCCACAGTTATTTTATCCACACAGTTGAGTAAAGAGAGACAGAGAACATATTCAAAAGCTACGATAAGCTAGTATGTTGGTACACACTTAAAATCACAGCTACTCAGAGTCACAAAGGTAGGAAGATTGGGCTCAGGGACCAGCTGGGGGTGTGGGAACGCCCAAACTGAAAAGCACTAAAAGACTAGAAGCAAAGCAAAACAAACAAACAAAAAAAGTAGAGCTGTAGCTCCAGGTAAAGCACTTATCTAGTACAAAAGCTAAAGACTCAATACCTCAAAAAAAAAGGAAATGTTTAAAAGGCTGCAAGAAACAACAGTAATCCAATAGCTTCCTTCATTAAAAATAATTTTTAAAAGTAAACAAACCCAATAGAAGCAGTATAGACATTAAATATATAAATAGTTCTTGGTGAATTATAGCTATTCAGTAGCTCAAAATAGTGGTATTAAGTCATCCTATGCTTGATCTCAAAATATCCATGTGATTTCCCAACTTAGCAACCCATTGCCTTTTTCTCTAGGGCATAGATAAATCTGACATCTACTTTTTACAACAGCAGAATAGAGATACTGGAGAGTCATCTTCTAATCTGTATTTTCCAGAATTGGGCAGATCTTTGCACTCTGAAATAAACTTTCGAAGTTCAGTCTCTGGGAAGCCGTTTTGTTGATAGTGCTATGCAGAAGAAGGAAAAGGCTCTCATTAATACACACCTTGAAAAGAGATTTTTATCTAAATACAACACAGATCACTTGGCAGGGGAGATCTTCCTAGAGGGACCGTTTAGCTCTCTCAAGGATGTTAGGAGATGTAGCCTCTGGAGACATTCGTAAGCTGGACTGAGGTGAAGCAGACCTGGGACTTTGCAGTCACCTTCCTGCCTCTCCTTTCCTGGTCGACCTTAACCCACAGTGGGCATGTTACAGTGGGCATGAAGCCTCTTTCTGGTGAGGATTAAGTAGCTGTACCCTGAGTCTGATACCTTATTACCACTCTGCCCAATAGCCCCATGACCTCCAGGCCAGTGTAAAGCAAACTTCTTGGATGAACCTGGTTCAGGCCATAGAAGTCCAAATGATCCAGATTGATGGATTATGTTGAGGGTGAAGAGTGGGCATTGTTTGTCTTCCCTGGATGACCTCTATACAATCTTAGGTGCTCCTAGCTGGTCCAAGTGTCTAAACAAATAGTTGACTGTCATAAAGCAACTTTCCAACCTGCAAGCTCTCATGGAATCACTCCTTCAGGCAGACGCGTTTGTTGGAGGCCTTGTATATGTACCAGTTTGAGGTCTGAACTCTCTACTGAGTCAGAAAGACTCAGACATGGCAAGTGCTCTGAACCCATGAAAAGAGATTAACATTTAATACTACAGGAGGCTCAGGCTTACATCCTCAAAAGTTACATTTAAAAGAGACCTTGGCTGGGCACCAATGGCTCATTTCTGTAATCCTAGCTACTCAGGAGGCTGAGATCTGAGGATTGTGCTTCAAGCCATCCTGGATAGGCAAGTCTGAGAGATTCTTATCTTCAAACAACCAGTAAAAAAGCTAGAAATGGAGCGATGGCTCAAGTGGAGAGCCTTAGCCTTGAGTGTAAAAGCTCATAAATCCTGAGTTCAAGCCCCAGGAACCAGCAGCCAATAAAAAGAGATATTGATGTCATCCTAGGGTGACCCATGATACTCTACTTGTAGGTTTGAAGGTGGTAAAAACAGCACAACCTATGGAGGATTCAAGACAGTTACATGTATATTCTTTCCCCAGCCTTGGGGACCAAATCACTCCCTTGCTGAACAAGTGTTGAAGAAAGTGAAGAGGATGCTCAATCATTCAAATCTGATTCGGTGAGAATGAAGTCACAGCCCAGGCCTTATGGGCAAGATATTCATAATGATCAACTGCAAACCCACAACCTCTCCATCGCTAGAGCTAATCACATGGCATCACATCTCATTAGTCCCCTCACTAGCTAAAGAAAATATTCCCATGTAGACATGTCCAGGCCAATGGTATACCCAACACTATAAAGTTGTTAGAAATTTAAATCTATGTCGATAGTTAGTCTACATTTTCATATTTCAAGAGACTCAAGGGGATTTTTAAATATGAATGGAGATAGTTGTTCAACTCAGGTCTCTCTAGTATACAAAGCATGAGCAGCTAGCACTCGACACAGATTGCTTTGCTACTCTGGAGGCTGAGGAGCTCTTAGAATATGCCCTGCAAGACCTAGTTCAGTTACAGCATGCTCCCAATGAAAGAGTTCTTTTTGTGTTATGAAATTTGGATTCTTAAAGTTCCCCCTGTGGGAAAAAAAATGGCTTTCTAAAATGCTATTTACCCAATAGTGACTGACTCTTCTATTCTAATAAAAGTTTAGAAATCTTACTTGAAAAAATCAAAATTACTTAGAGAAAAGACTTTTGACATTCTAGAAATTTTATTTCTCCTTCATTTCCTTTTTTTAGTATCTAAACTTGAGCTCTTTATCTGCTTTTCCCATCTTAGACATTAAATTTTGTTGTTATTATATAAGTTTTAGAAGAATGCTGCTTCTTGTGGGTGTTGGTAAACCTACCTTAATGGTTTCATAAGTGTCAGTGATCAGTGCAATGAAAAGGCTTAATATCATGTATATGAAGAGGCTGATGAACGAGTAGAGGTAAATTCTACTAAACAGCCAGACCAAGTAACTCTTCTGCTGCATTTTTGCAAATGTCGCAAACATATCATCTCCATTGATTAGAGAGAAAAGACACTCAGAGACTCTGTTCAGAGAACGGAACTGGAAAAGGAAAAGAGAAAACTTCACTTTCTTGCATGTTCCTTCCCATTGGAAGCTTTGGTCGTGATATAGTATTTAAAATAACAGGACCCCAATAGCCCAAGTTATCCTTTTCAAGCAAATTGAGATAGTCACAGCCTTTGTTTAAGTACACTATCCATCTGTCTACTGGTTTCCCCTATGATAAGTAGCTCTTTCTTGTTCTTGTTTCTCCTGTTAACTGGAGCAGCCCAAATGGAAGTCAGAAGGGGTAGGTCTGCACCTTTAGGGCTTTTCTGAGATGTTTCCCTTTTACTTTATCCTCTTAGAGAGAATGTCTTGAAATGCTCTGCAGAGATTTCCAGAATCTAACCAGGCCTGCTCCTGCAATTCATTAAGAAGATTATTCTATTTAAGATTGTGAATAATAGGGGCTGGGAAGATGGCTCAGTGGTAGAGCACTTGCCTTGAGCTGAAGAGCTGAAGGACAGTGCCCAGGCCTAGAGTTCAGGTCCCATAACCAGACCCAAAAAAGAAAAGATTGTGAATAATAAAGCAGGGTACCAGTGACTCATGCTTGTAATCCTAGCCACTCAAAAGCTAACGGGGGGGGGGGGGGGGGAGGGGGGTGGCTGGAAAGGTGGCTCAGTGGTAGAGTGCTTGCCTTCTATGCATGAGGCCCTGGGTTCGATTCCTCAGCACCACATGAGCTGAAAAAAATCAGAAGTGGTGCTGTGGCTCAAGTAGTAGAATGTTAGCCTTGAGCTGAAGAGCTGAGGGACAGCGCCCAGGCCCAGAGTTCAGGCCTCACAACCAACCAACCAAAAAAAAAAAAAAAAAAAGCCAACCAGGGAAGAAAAGTTGCTAGGGCCCTGTCTCCAAAATAAACAGCAAACAAACAAACAAAAACAAAACAAAACAAAAACCAGGCTAGAAGTATGCAGCTATGAGTAAAAAAGTCAGACAACCGAAAATATAAGTCCTGAGTTTAAGCACTGACACAAATATTCAAGATAAAAACAATTCAAATATTTCTACAAATTTCTTTGTATACTATTTTTAATAAAGTCATATTTGAAGAAAGCTTACTAGTAATATTAAGATACATATTGATGAATAAAATTGAATAAGCCTTGATGCCTCATGGCAGAAGGAGTTCATTAAGTGACATATTCCAAACAGGATTGGGGAGACTAACCCAATGATTCTCTCAAGACAGTCACACTAGTTTACAAATAACTATACTACCTTCAACAGCTTAAGGCTGAACCCCAAATAAAAGGATCCTTTTACAAACCTTTGGACCTTGTCTAAGAGTTTTATAACAACAGGAAAAACAAGTTGCTTCTTCATACCTTGTCATGGTAAGGCCCCAGTACAATCCATCCACAGAAGCAGTAGCCTAAATAAATCATGGCAGCACAGCAGCAGAACCGGATGACATTGGGCAGAGCTGCCTGAAGGGTCAGAATTAGGAGCTGTGAAAGGAAGAGAAGTTACTAGCACCCCCTTTGTTCTTTCTCCCAAACAGTGCAATAACCTCTGGAGAAATATCAGTAGCACAGAGCTCCATAGAATGCCTTACATTGTACTTCTCAAAGAAACCAAGGTACCGGATGACGCCAAGCCACACCAGCATGGTAGAGGTCCCAAGAAATATGCTACAGATATCATAACTTGTGAGACTCTACAATGGAATGGGGAGAAAATAAATTAAATGGCAGAAAGTCATTTTGGCAAGAAATACTTATTGAGTTGGGTATTATTATAAGAGGAGGAATAGAGCTAAGGATAAAGAGAAAAATTGTTTCCCTAATCAAATTGCATCCTAGTCGGAGGCAGGGCACAGAAACAATAGGAATAGATGAATAGTAATATATGAATATATGAATAGAATCTTCTGTACATTTACTAATGGTAAGTACTGAGGAGAAAGGGCAGGGTGGAGATAGGGAACAGCTATGAGTTTGTTGTCTGAAATAGAGTGATCAGAAGTGATCATCATGAAAATGTGGCATGGAGCAATGATTTGAAAGGAATGAGGGAGCAAGTGAAGTAGTAAGATAGAAGCTTACAGGCACAGGGACCAGCAAATGCAAAGGTTTCAGAGCAAGGAGGGAGCCTAGCAGAAATGGTGAGCCTTGCCAGGTGCTGGTGGCAATTCAAAGCCAGCCTGGGCAAGAAAGTCTGCGAGACTCTTATCTCCAATAGATTACCAAAAAAGCCAGCAGTGGACCTGTGGTTCAAATGGCCTTGAACAAAAGAAGCTCAGAGACAGTGCCCAGGCTGATGGGTCAAGGTAGAGATAATTGACTACTGCACTTAACACCATGGAGAGACATGGCAATCTGATCAGACAGATAGGAGGATGTATAGGAGAAGCAGTATCTTGAACAAAGCCACTTTTTGAGACCTTTTGATTATATAAAACAGAGCCGAGAAATGGGGCAGTAGTCAGAGAGAGAAATGGGACTCTGATTTTACCTTTTTGAAAGGAGAAAAAAAAAAACAAGCTAATTGGAGAACATGTGAGGGAGAGAGAGAGAGAGATCAATAATTCAAAAGAGAAGAAAAGTAGGTGGCACTATGACTTTGAGATAGCTATGCCCTTCCCTTGCTCCTGGTAGGCAAATGAAGAGATTGGTCTGGTAGAGTAAGCTAAATTTTTCAGAGTAGCAAGGATAACCAAATATAAAGGTCTTGAGGCTTGCAGGCCACTTACACAAGTTAGACAGGGATTTGTGGAAGTTCTGTTATTTTTTTCTTTTGTGTGTGTGAAGTAGAAAAGAGGGCCATCAGTTGCAAGTGAGGATGAAAAGGGGCATTAAAGGTTTCAGAAGAGAAGGATTTGCCATCTGAAACGGGAGAAGAAGATTTTCTAGACAAATCAAGGATCGTTGGATATCACTAAGGGATATTTGTAAAAATGTCTGTAAAACAAATGGCACATGGCCTCCCTAATACATGGATGCTAAAGCCAAAATGCAAGGAGATATGACAAAGTAAACAGGACTCGGGAAATAAAGGACTTCCACTCATTTTGTCATATCATTGCTAAGTGACTCCATGTTCTTGACCACATATATGCTGTACATATGCGCACACCTGAGGGAAGCTAGGAGAAGGACAGAATCAGAGGGAAATGGGAAAATATAAGACAGAGGGGCCCATCAGCTGCACTGGACATGGATGAAAATGAACTAAGCAACTCAAGGGCAGTGATGGGAGGGAGGGAATGAGAAGGAAAGAGGGAACAGCTGACACTAAGCAAAAGGAAAGAAATGTACATATCACCTGATGTGGAAGAAATAGTTGTATGGTCAAAGCTCACAGAATTCATAAACTTCATAGACCATGATAATGACAATTTGCCTTGTGAAGGTTAAAACGTGTCTGTGACTTTAAGTATCACTATTCCACAATACAATGAAATATGTGAAATTTATGTAATCACCTAATCGCAATAATTTTTAAAAGGCTGCAAAAATAAATAAAGGTTTGCTGCCAATCTACCCTTAGTCCTGCTTTTCTTTTTGTTTCTATTCCTAACATTAAATGACACAGACTACAGTCACATATGGTGGCAGCTGCTCAATGTTGACATAAATCCACTCTCCTTCCTAGGCCCATGCCTAAGCTTTGCTCCCCACCCCTACTCATAGAAAGTGTCACTACATTATCACCAGTGGGATGTGAACAGGTTTTCCACCATGCTTCAACCAGTGCCACAAGACCACACGAGCAGTTTCCACCACATGGTGGTTTCATTTCCCATGGGCTATAATGGCCTTGTGAGAGAACACAAGGCCAGTCATGCAGCAATGTGAGCCCTAAGGGCCAGCAAAGGAACAAGTTCAAAGGAGATTGGGTCCCTGCATGACTGCATGGCACTGAGTGAATGGCCTACCCTGAATATTGCATTACATAAAAGAAGTAAGTGCCTTTTATCTGAATCACTGCATTTAAGTCTCTGCCCAGGGTTTATAACCAGCTCCTTAGGTGATGCATATAATTAATTAGGCCCACAAACAAAGCTAGGAAAATAAAAAATTAAGATTAAATAATGTTCCCTTTTTACTTTGGTTTTTATCTTAGAAAAACAGGTTATTTTTAGGCTAGGTTTATCTTAATTTTAAAAAGATAAACTTGGGGGCTGGGAAGGTGGCTCAGTGGTAGAGCGCTTGCCTTGCATGCCTGAGGCCCTGGGTTCGATTCCTCAGCACCACATAAGCAAAACAAAAAAAAAAATCCGGAAATGGCGCTGTGGCTCAAGTGGGTAGAGCGCTAGTCTTAAGCTGAAGAGTTGAGGGACAGCGCCCAGGCCCAGCGTTCAGGCTCCACAACCGGACCTCCCCCCCAAAAAAAGCAAAAAACAAAAACAAAAAACAAAAAGATAAACTTGGGCTGGGTACCAGTGGGCTCATGCACATAATCCTAGCTGCTCAGGAGACTGAGATCTGAGAATCCTGGTTCAAAGCCAGCCAGGGGAAGAAAGTCTGTGAGACTTTTTATCTCCAGTTAACCAAAGAAAGAAAGAAAGAGAGAGAGAGAGAGGGAGGGAGGGAGGGAGGGAGGGAGGGAGGGAGGGAGGGAGGGAGAGAGAGAGAGAGAAAAAGAAAGAAAGAAAGAAAGAAAAGAAAGAAAGAAAGAAAGAAAGAAAGAAAGAAAAGAAAGAAAGAAAGAAAGAAAGAAAGAAAGAAAGAAAGAAAGGGGGAAAGCTAAAAATGAAAATGTGGCTCAAGTAGTAAAGTGCTAGCCTTGAGCAAAGAAGCTCAGGGTCAGTGCTGAGGCTCTGAGTTCAAGCCCCAGAATCAGCAGGAAAGAAAGAAAGAAAGAAAGAAAGAAAGAAAGAAAGAAAGAAAGAAAGAAAGAAAGAAAGAAAGAAAGAAAGAAAGAAAGAAAGAAAGAAAGAAAGAAAGAAGAAAGAAAGAAGGAAAGAAAGAAAGAAAGAAAGAAAGAAAGAAAGAAAGAAAGAAAGAAGGAAAGAAAGAAAGAAGGAAAGAAGGAAAGAAAGAAAGAGAGAAAGAAAGAGAGAGAGAAAGAGAAAGAGAGAGAGAAAGAGAGAGAGAAAGAAAGAGAAAGAAAGAAAGAAAAAGGAAGGAAGGAAGGAAGGAAGAAAGGACCAGAAAAACAATAAACTTGGAACACAATCTTGGGGAAAGAATGAAGGTGGAGTCCCCTTGTTTTGAATGAGCAAAGAAACAAATACAAGAAGTACACAGTAGCACCTTGGCCTCACTTCCCTCAACCCAGCTTACTCTTTTTAATTGAACATTTTTAAACTTCTTGTAAGTTTTTTTAATCTTTTTATCTTAATTACCTTGCTATTTGTGCATAAGTATGCATGGGCTTCACTGAAAAGTTCAAGTTTACTCAATAAAAGTTTTAAAAGATATCCTTTATTCTGCAAATCTCTCATTTTAGAAAAAATGCATTAATAAATTTGAAACTAATCATGGTATGATTAAGGAAAAATTTTTTTACCTTAGCTTGGATTTCCATTTTCAGAACTGACCCAATGATTGTCAGTATATCACTAATAATAATCATAATGTACCATCCATTGACAAATTCCATTTGTTCAGAAACAGAAACTTTCTTTTTGTAGTGGAGGAGGAAAAAATTGACAAATTCCTTTATGGAAAAGAAAAGAGGCACAGTGAGGTTTTCTGTCAGTCAAAATGTCTGTGTGGTATTCCTGGGAAGCAGAAGCTTTTACCTGCTGAAGCTGAAGTCCTCTAATCACAGATCTAACACAGAGAAGCAGCGAAGACAAGCAAGTCAGAATGACAAAGGCATCAAAGATCATCATGTAGTGAGTGTTCTTCTGAACTGGAAACAAAGAAGATTTTGTAGTGTGTAAATGGTGAGATATTAATACAGTGACATCTACTTCTTTTTAGAGCAATTTCGATAATCCAAGCATTTTTTCCAGAAAGAAAATACTGAAAAGGAGCCTCAATAAACATCTTTTCAGGAGGGGAATAGTGGTTCATGACCGCAATACCAGTTATGTGGAAGGCAGCAATGGAAGGATCCTGTTTGAGGACAGCAGGGCAAAAGAGTGAAACTCTATCTGAAAAATAAGCTAAAAAAGCAAAGGGACTGAGAGACAGCACAAGTAATAGAGTATTTGTCCAGAAAACACAAGACTCTGAGTTCAATTCCCATTACCTATGAAGAAAATAATAATAGAACCATATTTCTATTATTACTATTTAAAGAAAATTAAAATTATTTCAATATCACTATAGCCAACATTCAAAGATCTTTAGTTTATCAGTTTGTGGGGTGTGGTTCTTAAATACATTTTGCATTTTTGCAAAGCACACCAACATATACTGATCTAGGTATAAAACCCTAGATTTTTTTCTAGATGGTGAGTGAGGTACAGTGTACAAGATAGGTTCCTGGTCTTATGGAAGTTCTACTCTACGGTAGCAAGTAAAACAAGAATGAACAAGTACATGAACAAAATACTTCTGCACAGAAGTGATATAAGCAAAGTGAATCATCATACTGGACAGGTATGAAGCCTGACTTTTCTGTTAAAAAGTCTTGCGAATTGTTTTGTTCAAAAAATTTTTACTTAAAACCACGATCCTCCTGACCTCAGCCTCCTGAGAAACTGGGACTACAGGTGTGGGCCACTGATGCTCAGCTTCTCATTTGCATTTCTAAGACTAGACCAGTTCCTCACTGAGTCTACCCTGAAACCCAGATGGGACACAATGAGTAGATGTGGGAGGCTCCTAAGTCAAGTCCTCCCTGATTCTCCCTAGGTGTAGGACCACAGACCCCAGACTTCACTCCTGAGCCTTGGTTTCTTTTCTGTAACAATAACAGTTTTACCTCTCTTGAGTATCAGGAAGATGAAGGTAGAAATACATAATATGCACCTGGTAAGTTTTGGCTTGGGTAAGTGTAGGTTTGGAGTAGGACTATAAGTATGAGCTTTGTCAGAAGTGGAGTCATCTTAATGCTTTGAACTTATGTATTGCCTGAAACGTCAGGGATCTACAATAGTTTCTCTACCTGCAGACAAGTAAGGACTTGGGAATGATATAATCCCTTCCTTGACATCCCAGATGCAGTAATTTAATAGGCTTTTTTACATCATTCAACGACCCTCCTAAAAATGAGTAAAGCTGTTCACTCACTTGATCCAGATACATGCCAGTCTTTACATTCTCTGATGGAAATGTCATTATCTAAGCTTATTTTAATTCTTCCACTATGAGCCTTGTTGTCAAATGTTATCTGGAAAGAAAGACAAAGGATAAAAGACATATGCATAGTTTATGAGCTCAACACACCTCTGTGCACTAATTAGGAAGCAATTCTTCCAAAGGGACTAAACATGGAGATTCTCATCTATGATCTGTTTGCTAACTCTATTCATCTCTAGAAGCTCCCTTTATCTCTCTGTGAGTTGAAAAGTTGAATTCGCTCTTCTATAGAGACTTCCTAAAACCCTATGTCCTTAAATCATCATGCCACTGTGGATACCTTATATAACAAGAGTGTTTGCCCTCCTTCCCATTCTGAGTATCTCTAGATGCTCTCTTGTTTTGGCAAGAGCTGGTGCACCTATGCTTTGCCCTGCAATTATAGTCAAGCCTCAGTTACAAATAGATTTTCAGTGCTCCTTAAGAGTTTACTGACACAAAGGCGCATGATTTCTATCTTGACACATTTCATGAGAGTTTATTTTCTTTCTGAATTTAGATATCTTAGTCACTTTAGTATCACATACATTACAAAGGGGCTTGGTGCCAGGTGCCAGTGGCTCATGCTATAATCTGAGGATCACGGTTCAAAGCCAGCCCCAACAGGAAAGTCCATACGACTCATCTCCAACTAACTACCAAAAAGCCAGAAGTGGAGCTGTGGCTCAAGTGGTAGAGTGCTAGCCTTGAGCAAAACAAAATGTCAATGCTCTTCCATCTGTAATAAAAACAGAAGTGAGTTACTGATGTTAATCTCATGAGATGCTAATCCACCTGAGAGCATCTGGTGCTATCTAGAGTACTTAGTGGCTTCATCTGCAACCAAGAACAACAGCGAAGTGGCAGGTGGGCTGACAGGGAAGAGGCCAACCATGCTTCAGAGGCAACATGAGGAAGTCACTGAGAGCAGTAATCCAAAGGCTGTAAACCTCCATAATGAGAAAACTCAGTACCAGGACCCTTGCCAATAATAGTAAGACCTGTTCCTCTTATGTTTGCACATCTACTCTGTTCGGAGCACTGTACTGGAGAGGTAATAAAAAGGCAAGCCTGCACCCTTAGAGATCTTACAGTGAAGTACAGGCGAAAAAGAAGTAGTAAGCAATTTCTAACAAAGTAGAAATCATATCAATAGCCCACCTATGCACATTCACGTAGAAACAATTATTTTATGGTGCTTTAGTACAAATATATGAAGTATATAAGTAGAACAATTTTCTCTGGACTGGAAACAGTTTCAACACAGCCCACACTTACAGTCAGAGTAAAGTCGTAACAGTCAGGGAGCTCCTGATGACGGACTGTCTGAAGATTAATGGCCTTCAGTTTAAACTGGAGCTCCACTGTCAGGAGTCTGGAAGGCAGAGATGGCTTTAGTTTAAGGAATATACACACAAGCCCAACTGACACACTTTCCTCACCTGTGGAAGTCCAATGTTAAGTTGAGTTTATTTTCTTCCAGGGTTCCAATATGAAAAGGTTCATCAGGCTCCACATAGAAACATTCTGACAAAGAAAGAAACAAACAGTAATGCATGGCCTGATATCTAAAATAAATAATATGACATTTTAAAAGAATAATATATTTATGATCAGTTATTGGAGCATTACTTATCTGAATTAAGATTTTACAAGCTAGACATCAAAAACATTTGATGTTTTTTTTGTTTGGTCTGGTCGTGGGGCCTGAACTCTGGGCCTGGGCGCTGTCCCTCAGCTCTTCAGCTGAAGGATAGCGCTCTACCACTTGAGCCACAGCGCCACTTCCAGCTTTTTTCTTTTTGCTTATGTGGTGCTGAGGAATCGAACCCAGGGCCTCTGGCATGCAAGGCAAGCGCTCTACCACTGAGCCACCTTCTCAGCCCCACATTTGATGTTTTAAAGACACATAAGGCTACATTTCTAGATTGGTTGAAAGCTAGAGAAAAACTTGAACTCTGCCTCGGTGGGGCAACTTTCCCTCTTTTCTCTTTAAGCTTGGGTTTAAAGGGTTTATAAGAAAAGAAGGGTTTGTAATACATTGTCTAAGATTATCTAAGTTAAAGGATCCATATTTTAAAATCTTACTGTGTTGACATTTTTTCCCTCAACAAGCACTTTTAAGACAGGAAAATGGCATTTTAGAAACTTTCCACTACTTGTAACCATTATTCTTTATTGTTCCTCTCCAAGCAATATATCAAGAATTGCTAAACCTGATGTTCTGCTAATATAGTATCCATCTAGTTCACCAGCATATTCAGCATGAGAGATGATGGGCCAGCTTTCAGTCCTGCCTCTTATCAGCTTCATCCTGACTCCTACTTCGGATTTCTCTGAAATGGAGATAACAAACCTTGATTCGTCTATTTATTTTTGTTTTGTTTTGAGTATTCATGAATTACAGTGAAGGGCTTAGGACACCTAATCATCTTTGCATAATTCTTCCTATGCTGTAATAGCACATGCAGCCCAGTGTTTTCAGAGATGAAAATAAAGGTTTTAAGCATAAATCAAGGAGTCAAAAACTACAGTTCTGGAAAGGCATCACCTGTTTCAATTTCTGGATCAATGTCAAAGGTATCATTTCCAGGACAGATGGTCCCTTGCTTATAGAAGTGCTGGCAGATTCCCATAGCCGACTGCCTGGTACCCTTGTTCTCATAATCGTGATTTCCAACCGAGACATTTCGGAGCTGCAAGTACTTCAACCAAAAAGAGAAACCAGAAGTGGAATGTCAGCCAAGGAGGAAGAGAGACATTGACATCCGTTTCTCCTCACCTCTGGAACTGGCAGGTTCCCTCCTCCCCCACCCCCAACCCAGGTGGACACCACATTGATGTGCCGAGAAAGTGACTTGCTGCTGGGCACCAGGATGGCACAGGACAAAGAACACTCTGGAGTTCTGGGTTCCAGGCAAACAAGGTTTCTGAACCTCTGGTTCCTTACCCTAATCCCTATCATCTTTGAAGTTCTTGTTATGTCCTGGAGCTGATTTTTACGTTTAATGTGAATACACATATCATTCACCTTTGAATTATTTCCTGCAAAGTCATATGGTTCTGCTTTACTACTGTAACATGAGAAGTGGAATACTTTTTTCTAGGCTAACCGTAAATTTTTCCTGGAAAGTATTCATCTTTACTTTGGCATAAATAGAGTTTAACCCTAGAACCAGCAGGAGGGAAGGGAAGAAGGAAGGAAGGAAAAAAGGAAGGAAAGAAGGAAGGAAGGAAGGAAGGAAAGAAGGAAGGAAGGAAGAAGGGAGGGAGGGAGGAAGGGAAGGAGGGAAAGAAGGAGGGAAGGAAGGGTCATGAATTGCTTTCTAATTCTCTGCAGAAATCACCTAGTGACCTCACTACAAGGCTCATGCATCTCCTCACCTTCAATGCTATTGCTCTGGTTCAAGCCTTATCATTTCTCCCTGGACAAAACCAGTCCCTTACCTGTTCTTCCTGCTTCTAATGCTGCCTTTCACCCCAGTTTAGTCTCCATCTAGAATGCAGGAGTGAGTGGATTCATGTAGGTGAAACCCTTAGAACTATAAAACCCAGAATGTGAACCCACTTAAGACTGCTTTGGGGATATATCAGATGAGCAGAGAGAAAAAAATATGGGACAAACCACTTGTGACTGTACTCATTACTTGCCTCTTCTGACCATCTCCAGTTGTGTCCTCTGCTTACTTTTTTCCATTTCCATAGTACTGATAACCAAGTGACAGATGACGCTTTTACATATTGAATCATGGCTCATCTCTTCCTGTTAGAGTATGACCTCCTTCACCTTTTTCTGTTTGTTCATTTCAGTAACCCTGCTCCCCACCAGTATCTGATAATCATAGATGCTAAATAAATATTTGAACAAATACCTGTTAGCTTTTGCCATTCTATATTAGTCTCTCCCATACCAAAAACCCTCTCTGGCTACCTGACTCCTAGGTCCCTCAGGATAAGACTCAAAGTTCCATTCCAGCCTAGGAAAGCCCTGACAGTCCTGTCCTCATTGCTTTACTAGGATAGCATTCACTATACTTCATTTCTTTATGCATGCCACATGCTTTTGAGTTCTAAGACCTATGTTGTGGCTTCTCCTTCAGCCTAAAATTTTCTTCCCTGGCTTGAAGTTGAAGGTACTGCCACTGCCTTGTGCTGCTTTATTTTATCTCATAGAATCCATTGCTATCCTATGTCAAACAATTTTGGTTCAATCTGTCAAAATTCAGCTCCCCCATCAGCACACCAGCTCCACAGAAAAGAGACTTGATTGAGTTTTATGGCTCTAATGGCAGCACTTTGGGTACATGGTAGGTGAGCAAATACTTGTTAAATTAATGATGAGGCGACGGGCTGGGAAGGTGGCTCAGTGGTAGAGCACTCGCCTTGCATGCTCAAGGCCCTGGGTTCGATTCCTCAGCACCACATAAGCAAAAAGAAAAAAGCCGGAAGTGACGCTGTGGCTCAAGAGGTAGAGTGCTAGCCTTGAGCTGAAGAGCTGAGGGACAGTGCCCAGGCCCAGAGTTCAGGCCTCACGACCGGACCCCAAAAAAAAAATAATAATGATGAGGCGAAAGGTTATTATATTGTAACAGTCACTCTTCATTCCTGCAGTTAATCTATGTACATTGAGTTGGTAGACTGTCAGGATTACAACAAGAAGCTATTCTGTGAGCATTAAGATTGGGAAGGGCAGCTAAGTTATTCCTAACACTAGGTTCAGTGCATGTAAGGAACATAGTTGCCAATGCTTTTCAGTTGCCCTACATAGTTACTCTACATGTATAGCTGGAGATAGCTTTTGCTTTCCAGCAAGTAGACCAGTACACCTGGGATATACAATGTGTAGTAGAAAGCAAATGTGGAAAGGCATTCAGGAGATGTGTGGAAGAATCATAGCTATGATAGGGCCCATAGCTCTGTGGGGCAATCCCTGCAAGAGTTACTTGAAACACAGAACCTCCTAACTGGAGAATCTTGTGTTGTGAACCTTTTAAGCGTTGCGGATAAGCCGGGCACTGGTGGCTCACACTTAATCCTAGCTACTCAGGAGGCTGAGATCTGAGGATCATGGTTCAAAACCAGCCCAGGCAGAAAACCAGAAGTGGCGCTGTACCTCAAGTGGTAGAGCACTAGCCTTGAGCTGAAGCACTGAGGGACAGCACCCAGGGCCAGAGTTCAAGCCCCATGACCAACAAAATAAATAAATAAATAAATTTTTGCAGATGTAAAAGATCTGAGACCTAGTGCGGCAGGTAGCAATTAACATAGTAAGCTTCTAGGCAATTTTAGAAAGCTCTTTTGCAAAAGTGTGAACTGAATGGTCTAGGGCATGTGGCAGGGCTGTGTCAAGCTAAAGGACTACCCCCAAAGACCAAGCCAGAGGATTACAGGACAGCTATAGGACAGATTATGATTGGAAGGTGAGTTCCTTCAGGGAACTCCTGGGCAGATTGCACAGGGCACTTCTGCAGCTAAGACTTCTGTGGGGTTGGGGTTTTAATTTGGCACCTGTTCTTTCCAACCTGTGCAACTCTGCCTTGAAATAAGTTTTTTTTTTTTTTACTTGATTCAGGGTCCCAGGTGGTCATCCTTGGGGTGCTAATATAAAACCCAAATTAAAGTCCTTTAGCTAGGTGATATGGCTACATAAAATTAAAACTAGTTGTTATTTGATTATAGATTTCTTACTTGTGGCCCTTATAATTTGCTGGTAAAATGAGTTTTTCAAACTCATTTACTAATTCACAAACATTTTTTGTGTCTCTTTTAGAACAAAGATGTCAACTAGTGTGCTGCTGGATACTGATGGAGATGTAATGTATGGATAGATACAGTATATGGATCTATCTCTGTGTCTATACCATGAGGAGTAGTCCATAGTAAGATCTATAATCTTAGGCCAATTCCCCAGAAAACTGACGAGAAGTAGTAGGGCAGGTAGATGGGTAAGAAGGGAAGCCAACCACTTATAGAAGGTGTTTAAACTGTAAAAGTAAATAACTCCTGGGAGATCCTGAGGCCTTTAAATCTAAGCAACTAACCAGAAAGACAAAACCATCTGGAAGCAGATAGGAAGAAAATGTAAAGCTGCTTTGAATGGGGTGATTCCAAGACAAATCTTAGAGAATTGCCCAAATTTATGGAAAGAAAAGGAGTCAGTAAAGATGACCTAGAAGTGAAATAGAAATAAGCTGAGGACTGGGACTGTGCCTCTGCTAGAGTGCTTGCCTAGCATGCGTGAAGCCCTGGGTTTGAGTCTTCAGTACCACATACACAGAAAAAGCCACAAGTGGCTCTGTAGCTCAAGTGGTAGAGTGCCACCCTTGAGCAAAAGAAGCTCAGGAACAGGCCCAAGCCCTGAGGTCAAGCCCAGGACTGGAAAAAAAAAAGGAAGAAGGAAAGAAGCTGGAAGCTGAAATGAAATATAAAATATAAAAAGTTAAGTCTTTTGACATAACGTCTTATACATCTCATTGTTGCAATGGGTCCACCTGTATCCCTATCTAAACAATTTGTTTTTTCCCTTCCCCTCCACAAATTATACTAACCCCTCTGTACGGTATTTTCACAATAAAAAAATTACTTAAAAAAAGCTAAGTCTTTGACACTCAGATATAGAAGCATAAATAAGCCAACAGAGATGCTGTTACAATCACAGTTTGCATCCAAATGAGCTCTGGTGATTATCCAGTTAGATGACATTGTGAGACTACCTCTTCAGCATAATTAATTCACCAATTCATCATAGAAATACTTCTAATGACTGAGATGGCAGACTCTTATCGGGTCCCCCAAATGACCGTCAACTCAAATACCAAGACATTGTATTACAGAAAACAGATTCTCCATTCCCCCCCACCCCCCCACCCCCGTTCTCTAAGTGAATGTAGAATAATGGATCTCATTAACAACAAAATTCTGTTTGTTCATGAAGCATCTGAATAGGATATTTTTAATGTTCATCTAACCGTGCTGATGGTGCTTGGGAGACAGGAAGGATTTCTCTACTCAAGCTCTTAGAGTGATATATTTATGTATTAGTGATGGTTTGGATGCATTATGCCCTTCCAAAATTCATATGCTGGAACTTAAAACTACAATATGATATTACTGAGGGAGAACTTCAGTTGAGTGATTAAGTAATGAAGGTGCAGCTCTCCTAAATGGGATTAACAACATTATAAATGGGCCAGAAAGGCAGGCACTGGTGGCCCAAACCTATAAATCCTAGCTACTCAGGAGGCTGAGATCTGAGGATCACCATTTGAAGCCAGCCTCAGAAGGAAAGTTGGTGAGACTCTTTATCTCCAATTAATCATCCAAAAGCAAGAAGTAGAGCTGTAGCTCAAGTGGTACAATGCCAACCTGAGTAAAAAAAGCCCAGGGATAGTTCCTAAGCCCTGGGTTCAAGACTGAGGTGTGGCACACATATATACACAAAAGGCTAGAAGTCAGTTAGACTTTTTTTTTTTTGGTCCGGTCGTGGGCCTGAACTCTGGGCCTGGGCCCTGTCCCTCAGCTCTTCAGCTCAAGGCTAGCGCTCTACCACTTGAGCTACGGTGCCACTTCTGGCTTTTTTTCCTTTTTGCTTATTTGGTGCTGGGGAATCGAACCCAGGGCCTCATGCATGGAAGGCAAGCGTTCTACCACTGAGCCACCTTCCCAGCCCTCAGTTAGACCTTTTAATCCTTCTGCATCCCTTTTACCATATAAGAATGAGGAGCAAGATACATGACACTAAGCCTTCAGCTCTTAATCCTAGCCTTCCCAGTATACAGAACTGCAAGAAATAAATTCCTGTTGCTTATAAATTCTCTAGCTCAGTTATTTTATTATTGTGGCAGGAACACACAAGACTAATACAAGGAATCTTCATAAATTTCTACATGTACAGAAAATGGAGATCTGATTGGCAGAATGACCTGGAAGTCAAAAAGAAAGTATTTTGAAGACTGAGAATTTAGAGGACTGTGTACCTCTTGCCTTGCCCATTCCCCACCCCCACCCCACCCTCCAAGAAATGATCAATTCTGTTCAGAATAGCTTTACAGGAACTCAAAATACTCAAAACTAAATATCTTCTACAACAAGATATTTTCCTGTCTATAGATTGTAGGGCATAATTCTGTTAAACAAATTAGAGAATATTTTTGTAGATGTATGTGTTGGTATTAGGCCTTGAACTCAGGGCCTTGTGCTCTTGCTTGTTGTTTTGTTGTTGCTGTTATTGTTCAAGGCTGGTGCTCTGCCACTTAAGCCACACCTCCACTTTCCTGTTTAGCAATTTATGTTATTTCTATTACTATTTCACTTCGTTGCCAACTGAAATCCCTGGTACCATAAAGATCTTAACAGTTTATCATATCAATTTGCATAGATTTTCCCTGAAAGAGGAAATTATTATTATATGTGAAATAAGAGTTGCAGAAAATATTAGATATATCTGTAAACTAAGCTAGGATAGAAATACTGGCTTCAAGAGCAATTTCAATAATACCTACAAAGTGGGAAATTTGTGACCTTGAGAAAAGTATTTCTTGCACCAAAAATAATGACTAAAACCTCAAAATAAAAATATGTCTCACGGCATGAAAAAAATTGGCTTATTTCTTGCTTATCAGTCAACACCACAATGAAGTCATTGTCATGTATGACATAAAGCCTCACTTACTTTGAAGTGAACTTTTAGGACTTGATTGCTATACAAACTCAACTGTGTTATTATTCTCATTATTTGTTATGAGCTCTGAAAGTATAAGCTCTGAAGATGTAATGATTACTTCTACACAGGGTCATGTTCCTAATTTAAAATATTTGTGGTTGCCATGCCAACTCCTAGCTCCAATTGTTTTCACTGAAGCATTGAAAGTTTTCATCTCTATCAGTACTAAAGAAAAGCTTCTTTTCAATTCCTCATTTTATAAAAGTGTGTTAGCAATATTTTTAAAAAATCAATTGTGTTGGTGCCAGTGGCTCACATCTGTAATCCTAGATTTTTAGGAAGGAGGCTGAGATTTGAGGACTGAAGTTTAAAGCCAGTTTAAAATGTCTGTGAAACTCTTATCTCTATTTAACTACCAAAAAAGCTGAAAGTGGAGCTGTGGCTCAAGTAATAGAGCGCAACCTTGAGAGAAAAAGTTCAGGGACAGCATCCACACTCTGAGTTTGAGTCCCAGTACCAACACACACACACACACACACACACACACACACACACACACACACACACACAATGTAAAATAGAAATATAAAATAGAAAAGTAGAATTATTCACTGCTCAATACTCAAGTATCAGTTTCTAGATTAAGATCCGTTGCTATTATTTCCTAGGTCCATTCTTTCTCCCAAGTATTCATACTCAAGATGGGGTGTAGCTCAGGGCTACAGCACTTGCTAAGGCACTGACTTCTATCTCTAGCACTAAAATAATGCACACATTTGATTTACCTGGTTTACTGCAAAGATGATCTGATCATATACGTCCCTTTGTGTGTACACTGCATACGTGTCATCCATTCGGTCCATGTATCCTTTCAGGAAGAGGTGCTTGAAGGCTATTGTGTTTTCTTCCTTGAAAGCTACCACCATCTGGTTACTGAGTCCAAAAAGGACCAGCTTACAAGGGAAAAAAAAGGAATGACAAGAGGGTGAAAAATCTAAACAGAAAAGGAGGAGGGAAATGGTGCAGGGGCTTGAATGGTAAACAGAAGAATCTGCAATGAATTGTGTAGGACAAGAAGGCTTGAAGCTGCTGAATAATCTTCTTCCTGGGCCTCATTACCATGTCAGGGACAATAAGACCCAATTAGAAGTTATCCTTGTGATGAATCCCTAAATTAAAGTGTAAGAATTCAATACGTCCTTAATAGTCATGTAGGGTTGACCCCAGACTTTTGTGTGAAACTCAATCATTTAAAATAAGATCACTTCATAGCATTGTAATGGTAACACTGGCTCTTTCGGTCAGACCCAAAGCTGCTGCACTCCAATTGTCTTTTTCATCTTCTTTTCACCCCCACCCCCCCCCCCACCAAACCACTATCTACCCCATCACCCCTTTAGAATGCATATTCTGGCTTAGGTAAATCCAAGCTGAGGCAGGGATGCCCTACATGGAAATAGAAAGAAACACATCACCTATATGCTAGATGCTCTTCCAGGAATTTCCTTCATAGTTCTCGCAAATCCATAGTACAGTTACCAATTACAAATTTATGAATGAGTGCACAAAGACCCACAAAAATTAAGTAATTTTTTCCAAGGCACACCTAGCAAGTATATAGCCAAAATTGTAACCCAGGCCCAATAGATTAAATCTCTATCCATCGTGTTATGCTATGAAAAGTAATTCAGGGTCTGGTCAGGAAAAATATAAAGTAATCTTTCTCACACCTGCCTCTTGTAATGTATGACCTGAACCCACACCGTCTCACCCTCTATGTGTCTCATCTCTGAAGAGCCTCTGTAAGCTAAGTGTCCTCACTGAAGTCCTAATAGAATGACAAGTTGATATTCCAGGGAAGTTACGTCTATTGAAGCTGATAACAACAAACCTCCAACGATTTCCCAAAGATATCCTTGCCAAGTTATTCAATTACATGAGTCCCTCCCACATGCCAACCGTGAATTAGGTACTGAGGATATGAGAAGACAACCAGCTCTGGCCCTCAAGGACTGCCTGAGAGCATGACCATATTCAGAGACTCACCAGGTAGTAGAAGCAGCACTTTTACTAGGGTGCGCATTATTGTAAACATCTTCTTACTTACCATTATTAGTGTTGTAGACATCTCCTAATTTATAGAACGACTCAACAGTGTGGGTTGCACACCTATAATCCTAACACTTATCAGGAAGAGGTAGGGGTATTATGACTTCTAGGCCAGTCAGGGTTAAAACAACAACAACAAAAAAAAAACAGAAACACTCCTTTCCTCAGGAAAAAGATTATCTGTCACCTCATTTGCTCAGTGATAAAGTTACCGTTATGTCATCTGTGATTGCTCAGCTACGGATTAAGGAAATATCATAAGACCCCTTCAAGTTCTTTTTAATAACTTACCTAAACACTTTCTATGTGCTAATAACCGATAGGTTTAAACCATCAATTGATTTTCTTATTGGCCACCTTCGTAATTATAGGAGGTTAGAAGAACTCTAGAAAGGATTAAGAATTATGAATATGTCTTAATATAAATCTGAGTGTAAATCTCAGCCCTACCCTTCCAGTTTCCTAACATGGCATGTTATTTTCAGTGTTCTTGTCTGTGAAATAGATACCACTACCCATCCCCAATTTAAGAATTGAACATGATGACATCTGTAAAATATTTAGTCTGAATATTTAGCAAATATTCAAGTCATCCCTATTAATTTCTGTTTTGTTTTTACATTTTATTAGCCTTGATTAGTTATACTAGAGAATTTCTTTTAGACATGTTTATATATGGATACAGTGGGCCTTGATTTGATTTACAGTCATTCTCCCTCATCACCCTCCCCTCTTCTGGTACTAATTATTATTCTAAGCAAGAAACATTCATATTTAGTTAATGCAGACTTTCCTTCCATATAAAGCAACCTGATAGGCTTTTTTTCCGAATGTGACACATTATCACTGAAAGCTAAGAGTTTCAATTCCAAGTGGCAAATAACTATAGTGAGATACTGACATCCTGTTTGTGATATTGAAAGGAGTGTATCTGCCCCTTAGATCTTCTAGCCACGTGACTTTCTGAAAACTATAACAATTTTCCTCCTCTGTTAGATGAAAGGAGCCATTATTTACCCAATGGAAGTGATTGGGCAGTCTTGACAGAATTAAATGAAATAATGGACCAGAATGGTCTTTTCCCTTTAAAGCAACCTTTAGTATTCAAAACTTCAGCAAGAAACCCACTAACCTTCTCTAAGTGTAGAAATTTCATTAGCTCCTACCAATCACATGAATTCTCAATTAAAATTAGTAATGTCAAGCCAGGCATATTGTAATTACAAGGATTGCTACAGATTTTTCAGGTCAGCCCAAGCTATGTAGCAAGGCCTTGTCTTTAAAAAAGAAAAAAGCAGTAATGTCAGTGTTTTGTTTTGGTTTTAGCTTTATAAATCTCTCCAATACACATTTTTACTATGAAGAGAGAATAAAAATAAACCCAATCACAACTATTGTCACTCCTAAAATCTTTTTTCTTTTTGCTCTCTTGCTCCTAATGAGAAATAATTACTCTACCCAGAAGAGTATCATAAAAAAAAATACATCATAACTGATGATGGATGTATGGGTCAAGCTGTACAGCACTTGCCTAGCAAACAGAAGGCCCTTAATTCAAACTGCATTACTGCCTAAATTAAAATAAAATGTAGAATGTACAAGTGCCACAAAATATGGTTTCACAAAAAAATGTTTTGGAAGAAGCTAAGGAAGTTAGACTCAAAATTTCTCTTTAAGCTACAATACCATCTTGTGTCTCACTAGCTAATATCAGTTCTCTGTGTTAACTCTGTATCCTCCACTGCCTAGTTCTCATGATCAAGGGCTGTGGGAAGCCAAGAGCTTGCCTATAGCAGAAACATGTTAAGTTTCTAACGAGAGAAATGCACAAGGAACTAACCAGGGAGGAAAAGAAATTCCCTATGTTAGGAGATTTCTAGCTTCTAGAAATGATACCTTCCATTATACCCCCTTGATTAGAATCCAAATATTAATTTTTTCTACTCCTGAAAACTAATTAAATGGGTGACTAAAATGGGAACTTCATGAAAAGTGAGAAAACAAAAAAAAGCAAAAAGAAAAAATCCACTAACTCCACTCCCATTTCTGTAGTTTCTTCATACTAAATATTCTCACTTAAATACTGTAATAAAGAAAAAATGGTTAAATTTTGCTTTTCTTTATTTATTGCTCTCTATTACATATGCAATTAATGAGAAGAAGAGAAAGAAAAAGAAAGAAGGAGGAGGAGGAAGAAAAGGAAGAAGAGGAGGAGGAATTACCCACTATTTTTTTGTAACTTAAAAAGGCTTTTATAAAACTCTGATCTGAGATGCTTACCTGGATGGTCACCGTGGCAATTTTTAGGATTTGGATAGCAAGTTTCCATGGTTTTCTACCTCGAGCCCAGAACTTCTCACATGGATTCATGAAAAAAAATTTGAGTTTTCGCCTCATCTGGTCTTCTAATAGAAGTTGCTCGGTTGGAGAAGTGTGCTGGTTGAAAGTGCAGCGATTTTCCTCTTCGTGAGAGCTGCAGCTACTTATCACTACCTCAGGATTTGCCATCTCTAAAGGGAGAAAAATAGACAACCTGATATTTCCACTCATTGAGAGGGCACAGCTGGTATCATTTGCTGTGGCAGCGTTGTTGTCAGGAGGAAGCCCAGACAACAGACCTGCTGTCACATAGCACTGCAGTGGATCTAAAGTGCACTTGAAACTTAACAGAATTGAAGGTAAAGTGTCACTTTTTAAATTTTTTTTTACTAAGAAGTGAAATTTTCGGTGACATTGTCCAAAAAGAAATGTACTCTTGACCTGACTTATGTAACTCACCCCTCTATAACCTGTATAACAATTTTAAAAATTACAAAAATAAAAAAGGGGGGCTGGGAAGGTGGCTTGGTGGTAGAGCACTTGCCTTGCATGCATGAGGCCCGGGGTTCGATTCCTCAGCACCACATAAGCAAAAAAAGCCAGAAGTGGTGCTATGGCTCAAGTGGTAGAGCACTAGCCTTGAGCTGAAGAGCTGAGGGACAGCACCCAGGCCCAGAGTTCAAGCCCCATGACTGACAAAAAATAAATAAATAAATAAAATTAAAATTAAAATAAAAAAGTGAATTTTCACCTAAAGTTAGCAATTCAAGGTCTACTCCTCTTAGTAAAAGGCCATATGTATGCATAATGTATACAAGAAAGAGAAAATATGAATACTAATAATAATGATGTGTACCCTTATATAATTGAGACAAGCATCAAATAAAACTGTAAACAAACCTGGATGCCATAACTCACACCTGTATTCCTTGCTACTCAGGAAACTGACATCAGAGTTCAAAGCCAGCCTGGGTCAAAAAAGTCTTGAAGACTCTTACCTACAATCATCTACTAAAAACCCAAAGGTAGAGGTATGGCTCAAGTAGTAGAGTGTCAGCCTTGAGCAAAAAAGCTAAGCAAGAGCACAGGGCCCTGAGTTCAAGCCCCAGTATAGGCACCTGCATACATACATGCATACATGCATAGATACATTTTTTAAATTGTAAACAAAAGTCTTGCACCATCTAGCACTAAGCAAACAGTTTCACTTAAGCCCTTTCCCCCGCCCCACAGCAGACGCAATCAATTCTTAAACAGCCAGCAAGATTCTCTGTGAGTGACAGCGTGAGCCTGGAGAACTGAACTGTTGTTCTGCTAAAGGGAAGCTGGACAGGCAACTGCAGTCCAGTCTCCAGCCAGGCCCATCCCTTGTATTCACTTTTCATAGAAGGCCATATAATTACATAACACATTTTATTTTCAAAGTAGTTTGTATCAATTGTTTCTTTTGTCTCTTTGAAAGGAAAAAATGACAAAGAAATCACTCTAAAGATCCAGATTTACCTTGGATTTTTCCATCAGACAAATATTGAGACTATGGAAATCTATTCAAAATCATATACCCCAATCTCCCCATAGAAGGGAGTCCTTCCATACAGAACAGAAAGCCTGGAACGAATTCAATGCTTTTATAATAAAGTATTAAATGAGGGGAAATACTTTTACCTATATTTGAGGGAACTTAAACTGTGTTTATATAATATCTAACATGTCACAGTTTGAGTACATTACTTTTCCCAATTCTAGAAACTCATGTTTTGATTTGAATCCTAATATTGGCAGCAAAGTAACATTCCTGAAAGTCGATATTGGCTATAAAACTAGTCATGGAGAAAGTTTTAAGTGCTTGATTAATTAAAAGATTAATAATGATATTGCTGAGTGAATAAAGCATACAATATTGTGAGATATTCCATATAGCGTTACTGTGCATGCAAAATTGAATAATTATACTAGAAACTCTGTTTTGGTGTTTAAAATGCATGTCAAAATATGGGTAATAATTCTTAGTCAAAAAACATAAGGAGAGAAAAACACTCATTAATCTTTTAGGATAGTCACTCAAAGCTATCTTATTTTCTTCTTCTAAAAGGTAGAATATTTTAGCCATCATTTACATAAGTTTATCCATGAGACCTAAAGCAAATTATGTTCATAATAATGAATACCAACATAATAGTGAAGTTGATATTTGTGAACTGCAGATCTGAGGTCACATTAAACACATTCCGTTCTGAACCGGAGAAAATTAAACTTTAAACAAAGTAGCCACATCGTGTAACAGTAGCCCACAGCAACAAACAGACAATGAGCCAACCACAGTTAGTTTATTCAGCACGTCGGCAGCACCAAGTCGTTCCGGAAGCAAACTCATTTCATTCAGGACTGACTCCTAAAGTTGCCCGACGCCTTAGTGAAAGCCTTTCTGGCCTCTCCTCCACCCCACCTCCCCCAGCTGAAGGAGTATTGGCAGCTAGTCTTCACATCCATCCACCCAGGGCCCGGGGAAGGCCGGGTGGGCGCAGGGCCCCTCGGGAGTCTCCTATCTGCCATATCAATCATGCTCTTAGAACGCGCACTCGCAGGTTATTTATTCACAGCGGTGGAAAGCTAAAGATGGACAGGTAACTGCACAGGCCTCACAGTTGACAACCCAACGCCACTGGTTTCCTCCAAACAGACACTTTCCTACTTCATCCCACACCACTTTCAGGCTTGTTTGTTTGTTTGTTTTGCGCCGATCGAGGTGGCCGGTGTCTGCAGGGCCGAGGGCCTGCGCCCTCGAGCACTGTCCCTGGAGTGAGCTGCTGTCTGCGGCCCTGATCAAAGCCTGCTTCCCGACAGCCTCCGGGTCCACCCCACCCCACCCACCTCCAATGAGAGGACGATCCGAGCAGCGGGCACCCAGCCCAGCAACGTCAAGACCCTATCCGAGGACTCGCGGCTGTGGGCGGCCGTTTGCGGCCGGAGTGCAGGCCTCGTCGTCGGGGTGGTGGCGGCCGGGGCGGGGCGGAGGGACGGCGCCCCTGCCCTCGGCCGCTCCAGCCCCGGGCTACTCCGGGTGGGGATGCTCGGGGACCAGCCACCGGCCCCGCAGCCGGCCCACCGTCTCCGCTACTGACCTGTGGCGGGCGGCGGGGCGGGCGCTGTGCGGACCACATGCATCTCGCACCCGGCTCCCACCTGCGCGCCCTCCATGGCGCCGACGTCCGGGGGCCCGACCCTCCCGCGCTGTGTCACCCGAGGCTCGTGACATCGCAGTCCCGCCCTGAGCGCCGCGGGGCTCGGCTCCCACGACACCTGATGCCTCCGGGCGGCTCCGGGCGCGGCTCACCTGCGGCTCGGCGCGCGCGGAGGGGGCGCCCGGCCCGGGGACCGCGGGCAGCCGGCGGGGAGGCGGCCTGGCTTCGGGGACCCCGCGCGGCTCAGCCAGCCTCTGGGGCGCCGGCCCGGCCGAGTCCAAGGGGAGCCGGGCCTCCGCCCCCCCACCCCACCCCGTCCCGCCGCCCCGGATCGTGCCCCTCCCCCGCGGCTCGGTTCCCGGCCACGCCCCCCCGCGGCCGGCTGGACAGGTGCTGTCCCGTGGAGCACGGCCGTGTCCCCAGCGCCGGCCCCGCCGCCGGCTCCCGCCCGCACCATCCCCCGCCCTGGAAAACCTCCGAAGCAACGTGAAGAGAAACACCCGATGGAGACTTGGACTTGTAACTTTTGTTCTTTACAGATGCCGGTCACTTCCTCTATCAGGCCCTCCGGGAGAAGGCGCGGCCAGGGTGCAAGGGACCAGGGGGAGGCCCACTGGCCCAACAGAGGCCGTTCCTGACGCTCGTGGTTCTTAACTATTGGAAATGCATCTGGAAAGCTCTTTGAAACACAGCTTTCTGGACTCGTAGGCTTTAGTATACGTATGTGCATCTCCAACATGTTCATGGCCACCAAGGTCCCTGTGGTGGTGAAGCTGTTGTCACAGGAATGACAGGTGAGCAGTGAATCTCCCTGTAAGGGCACGGTGTTCTGGGGAGCCAACATGCCAGGCATAGTATAGGTCCTAGCCACCTGTTCGGTACTTACTTGTTGAATAAATAATCTTCCCCATCCAGGAAAAAAAAATAACAAATCCTAGCCAGGCGCTGGAGCCTCGTGCCTGTAATGCTAGCTATTAAAGAGGCGGAGATCTGAGGATCAAGGTTCAAAACAGCCCAAGCAGGAAGTCTGTGAGACTAATCTCCACTTAACCACCAAAAAATGAAGCTATGGCTCAGGCTCAGGGACAGCACCCAGGGCCCTGAGTGCAAGCTCCATGATCGACAAAATCAAGCAATCAATCAGTCTTAGCCTGTATCAGTAATGGATCCGTACTTTGGTTAATTTTAATTAATATCAATCTGTGTGTGTGTGTGTGTGTGTGTGTGTGTGTGTGTGGCCCCATACTGATTTCTGGGACTCAGGGCCTTAAGCTGCCCCTGAGATTTTTTTCCAGTCAAGGTTGGGTTTCTACCCCCTTGCCACCTTCCACTTCCAGATTTTTTGCTGATTAATTAGAGATAACAGTCTTAGGACTTTTTATGCACAGGCTGGCTTCAAAGCTGGATCCTCAGATCTCAGCCTCTTAAATAGCTAGGATTACATGTTTGAGCCACCAGTGCCCAGCTTCTTCAACCTGAATTTGTTTTAATTTGGTAGGTTTTGCTTGTTTTTTCTTTGGGGCCCATAGGTAAATTTGTAAATGTTAATGTCTACGAATTTACTTCACTCTATAAATTATCCAGAACTGTTGGGTCTTTTTCAATACTTTTTTCAGTTCCTACATCCATTTGTATGATTAATTTATAAATACAATCATCTTTTCTTGCAATGGGTACAAACATTCTATGGTGTTCATTAACCTGAATCCCAAGTGTTATGGGCAAGACCCCAAGGATATAATTGGCACACTCTATTCTCAAGTGCAATTTGAAAAATATAATTGAATTGCAAGTGTTCATATGCTCCAAACAATTGAATACTGTTTTCTTCCTTTAATCATTATGTTGTCCATTTGAAATACTTGTGTTTAGAAAGAATGAATTTTGGAGAGATTTGCAGGTATAAATTATGGTCACTTCTAATCCTAGCTATAGGTAAAGTGATGTAGATTGGTGAATGGGAAAGGCCAGGCTTTCAGTCAGCTCTGAATGACCTCCTATTCCCCTACTAACTGGTCTATAGAAAATTACTTACTTTCTCCACAGCTCTATTTCCTTTTTTTTTTTTTTTTTCAGTCTTGGGGCTGGGCACTGTCCTTGAGCTATTTTGCTCAAAGATGATACTCTACCATTTGAGCTATAGTACCACTTTTGGCTTTTTTTGTGGTTAATTGAGGATAGGAGTCAGAATTTCCTGCAATCCTCAAATGTTAACCTCCTGAATAGCTATGATTACACACGTGAGTCCGGCACCTGGAATGTGTGTGGCATATTTTATGCACTGGTGGTTTTTGGGGTTTTTTTTTGAAGAAGACATAAATTAATAACAAGATCAGCCATGCTCATGCATAGCAAGGTTCCATATTGTTATCAGTGTTTGCCCAGTTCATTTATAGACTGACTCCAAGCTCAGTAAAAATTCCACCCCACTGTTTCATAGAAATTAACAAACTGACTCTAAAATTCATATGGAAATGCATATAATTGTTTTCTTCAAATACTAGAACTAGAACTCAGGGACCTTTTAAATGATTAGCTTGCTAATAATGGTGCTTTCCCACTTGAGCCACACCTTCAGCCCAGAGCACTTTTTTGTAAAAAGGACAAGACTGGAGAATTGTCCCTACCTGATATCAATTTCTTATAAAGCCATTCAAACAAAGCAATTCTGTGCTAGTGAACAGACCAGTCAAATCTATATGAACAATGAATTAGATAAAGTCCAGAAATAGACTCCTACCTGTGTATCTGGGGGTATTAATTTTTGACAAAGATGTAAAGATAATGTTGAAGGAGAAAATTAATCTTAACATTGAATATAATGAGGTAAATGGCTAAAATAAATCTATTGATTCTTAGATTCTCCTAGGCATGGGTTGAAACTTCCTCAATAAAGATCCAGTATCACAACAAATCAAAGAGAGGTGGGATGAATGGTATTGCATCAAACTAAATAGTTATTGCACGGCAAAGGAAATAGCTAGCAAGAGAAATAGAAAGCACACAGACTGGGAGAAGATGTTTGCCAGTTATGCATCAGACAAGAGGCTCATATCTACAATATGCTTAGAACTCAAAAAAGTTACACACACACCCAAATAAACCCTCAAAGAAACACCAACCCAATTAATAAATGGTCTAAAGATTTAAAGAGAGACTTTTCAGAAGAAGAAGTAAGAATAACCAATAGACACAGGAAGAAATGTTCAACAACTCTGGCCATGAAAGAAATGCACCTCAAAACAATATTGAGGCTTCACCTCACCCCAATTCGAATGGCCATTATCAAGAAAGCTAACAATAACAGATGCTGGCAGGGATGTGGCTAAAAGGGAATGTAAACTTGTTCAATCACTCTGGAAAGCAGTATGGAAGTTCATCAAAAGACTAAACATAGAGCTTCCCTATGACCCAGCACTCCCACTCCTGGGCATTTACCCAAATGACCACAAATCAGGCCATACTAAAGCCACCAGCATAACCATGTTCACTGAAGCAATTTTTGTTTGTTTGTTGTTGTTTTTTAGCCATAGCTAAGATACGGAATCAACCCAGATGGCCCTTGGTGGATGATTGAAACAAGAAAATGTAATATATATAAACAATGGAATTCTATGCTTTCCTCAGAAAGAATATTGTACCATTCATAAGGAAATGTAAAGACTTGGAAAAAATTAGATTAAGCAAAGTAAGCCAGACCCAAAGAAACATGGGTTGCATTTGTGGTAATTAGAATGTGCCCATAAATCTACAACAAATACAATGAATGGTAAAAGACAAAAAAAAATACAGTTGGATATGATAAGTTAAACAGGAACTCTAAATTCACACAGTGAGACCAAAGAAGGATATTCTTAGGAGAGGATCACAAAGGCTCAATAGCTATGTGCATACGATCATATAAAACAGTGTTTATCAAAATGAACTCCAAGAAATTGAAACAAGAGGTTTTATTATTTTACTTTTTCCCCTTTTTTGTCAGTGTTTTTGATTTCTGTACATTTTGTCTGGTATGTGATTTTATCAGCTTCGGGGAGGGGAAAGGGAAGCACAGAAATGGTGGCTCAGAGTGAACAAATGCAGCAGTGATGCTCACTAGACACCCTGTTTAAAATAAACTATACAACTTGATGGGGAAGGGAGTCAGGAGGGAAAAGCTGGGAGAAAATGAAGGAAGAGATGACATTGTTTAAAAAGAAATGTTATTACCTGCCTTATGTAATTATAACCACTCTGTACATGACCTTTGTGATAAAAACAAATATTTTTTAAGTAAATCTATTGACATCAAGTCACAACAAAGACAGGAAACATTGCCATTAGAGCTACAGGTTTAGGTAAACATTTCTGGAAAACAATACAGAAGCACATAAAAGAAAAGCAGTCAAGATCTAATCAGTTTTGCTTTTAACATTGCCAGGTTGTGTGTGTGTGTTCCTGAACCTAATACATCATTCTTGCAAACAGAATAAACATTAATTAATTTACATACATGAAATATATCTTGGTAGTTCTATGAGTTTGGAAGCAATATGATTCTGGGTACATACTGGACCACAACTTTTCTATTTTACATTTGATGTCATAGCTGGGATGCAGTAACTCATCACCAAACCCAGCTTCTTCCATTGAGATGGGGTCTCAAGGACTTTCCTTTCCCAGCTGGCCTACAATAGGCCAATCTCAGCCTCTTGCTTGGCATGAGCCACCAGTACCTACCAGTACTCCTTCCTACTTGTTATTTCTGGTGTGTGTGTGTGTGTGTGTGTGTGTGTGTTTGCAGGGAGTGGGGATTTGTTTTGTTTTGTTGAGCTATACCCCCCCCCAAAGCAGGGGACTTCTGCTTCCTGACCTTGTTTACTCTGTGGCATGTCACACTGGAGCCGTGCTTCTAGCCTTGCTTTATGTCAGTTAATTGGTGATAGATTCTCACAGGCTTCTCTGCCCATTCTGACTTTGAACTGTAATCCTCAGATCCCAGCCTCTTGACTAACTAGGATTATAGTCATGAGCAAAATAATAATAATAATAATAAATA